CATCAATTTAAACAAGTTATGAATGATGAAAATATTGATTTTGTTTAGTGCAAACATCAATTAATGCAAGCTTAACTCACCAGTACATAAAGGAATAATTATTGAATTGTTCATCTATTAAATTTCCTTTTGGGCTTCAATAAAGCTAGTTTTGAATTACTTTAAAAGTAATTCAGTAGAAGTCACTTTTATTTTCCTCGTAGCTACGCTCATTGAACCAAACAATGGTTCTTATTTCGTTCGTTTTTCTCATGATTTAATATACTTAGGTCTGACCAAAAGTTTTGACATCATTAAATAACACTATAAAGATAAGGAGATATTTTTAATTTTATTTTTTCAAATGTTAGCATAGTTGCCAGTATTATTTATTCCAAGATCAATCTTTTCTAACAGTTAATTAAAAGCTTTTTTTGAACTCTTTTTCTGAAAAACTTTTTAGCAACCTTGAAAACTGTATGAACTAATCATGTTTCATTTGTTTTAAAAATTTAGCGAAATTTTGTTCGATTATGTCAGTTGCGTTGTAACATTACTAGTGATGCGATATGGATTTATTTTAGATAGGTTAGTTATAAGTCATCTAATGCTAGCTGGCATACTGAAGATGAATCGTCAAAGACTATTGCTCATGGAGACAGATTTGAATCAAAACTTTGTTTCGTATATTCTTTAAATCAAATAGTCCTGAATGTAGATAAAGGCGAGGCTGTAGGTTACAAGTATTATATTGAAAAGTGTCTGACGCCTTTTGTTAATATAATATGAAAACAAACAAAGACATCAGATTCAAAATGTTCAAAATTACTTGACGATCATCGTTGACTTCATACTCGTCCAATTTTATTAATTATTTGACAGAAGGAGACATCAATATAATGTCACATCTATCATATTTCTCAGACCTGATACTATGTAATCTATGCTTAAGTGATTGTGTCGGACGTAGTCTAACCGATAAAATAAATGAAATATGATGTGTTCATGCGGTTACCAAGGTAGCGAAAAATTTTACACAAAAATAGTTCAAAAAAAACTTTTTATTAATTGCTAGAAAAGATTGATCTTGTAATAAATAATACTGGCAACTATCCTCAACATTTGATAAAATAAAATTAAAAATATCTCCTTATCTTTATATTTTTACTTAATGATGACACAACTTTTGGTCAGACCTAAGTATCACTAAATTCAAAACAACGAAAAAACCAATCAGAATATTCAGTCACCATACTATTTCATAAGCTGAATAAAACAAAAACTCAAAATATTCATTATTCAAAATGTAATCAATATCAACAGGTAGACAACAAGAAAGAATAAATAATATATTTGAAATTTTTGACTTGATCATAAACGTATTCGTCATTGAGTCAATGTTAATCAAGCTGAGCTAAATAATCTTTCTATTGAAGCACTAGTCGCTGGTACGATATCTTCTCTTCTGGCTATTTCTGATACTAATGAGATATCACGATGAGTTTCACTAGTAGACCAGAACTTTAGGGAGCACACGCATTTCCGATTCCTTTATCAGTTGTTAGATGAGTCGAAATTTTCTGAATGTTTTACTTTAATTATGAGAAATTCTCATTTGAAATACTTACTTGTCTTAATGATACACTCATTTATTTACTTGAATCATGGACTGAATGGAATAGCTAGACTTAATCGTTTCTTCGCTTTATGAAGACCACTGAAATTTCAACATTAATTAATTTAAAAAAAAAATGAAAATTTTCAAACCGTTCAAATGCGAAGTCTAATAAATTTAGACAATTAATATAACGTAAATCTGAACCAATGTCTAAATTCTCAAGTGATGTTTGAATAAGTGAAGACTAAAATAAAAATTGTACATTACGAGAATCGCTTAAGCTAACTGATAAAGTACATAAGTTTTATTACTTCCATGATGATGAGTATTATTCGATAATGTTGAAATCGATAATAGTGAAGACATTGAATCAGTAAAATAAGATTTTGAACTATGACTACTAGTATTTGTATTTTCATTAATAACACGAAATATATGTTGACGTATTTGACCTTCAATCGAACAAAGTATTCCGGATTTTTCAGTTTCTTTAATAAGCAAAATTTTATAAAATAAAAATAGAGATTGTGCCAATACAACTTGTTAAGAACTAAAATATAGAACTCACATATGTTCTTTACTCTCATTATATTCATACAAAATACTTGAAGTGAAAAGTTTTTACTAGACCATAAGAAATGCGTGAGAAATTAGATTTTACCCGTTTTTTAGCTTTTAAAATTACTATGAGTTTCATATTTTTCCATACTCGAGTCTCTATACTTCTTTTGGGTGAGTTTCCTTTATTATCTCCCAAAAAGGATACGAGGGTGTGTTTCCGTCTAGAGAAAACTATTCCAGAATTGACTCTTATCACATCTAAAAACGTTTTCAATATTCGTGTTTTTTTACTTATACACTTAAAGCTATAGAATATTTAACTATAACTTTCAGTTGCAGTTGGAACAACTGCTTTTCTCGTAGTTCCCAATAGAGCTAGCTGGATACAGGTCTGATCTTTCATAGTTGCCACTCTTAAGATAAAAGTCTATAATGACTTATTCATAAACGCTCACCATCAGGATGCCTTGAGAAATATGAAATAAATTCTAATGAAAATATGATGAGTAAGAATTCAGCAAACGTCCAAATTTTCGCCTAGCATATCTCTAAAACTTACACTCACTCTATTTTCCTTCGAAACAAAAACTGTCAATAATTTTACCATCAATTGTTAATGATAATAGTTGAATATCAAATAAACTTTGAATATTCCTTAATTGAATAAGTAAAATGTTTTCATACTAGGTGTTCTTCACATATATTCAAGACAATTGAAGAAAAGAAACGATTAAATGTGTTCGTGCTGTTGCTAATTCTTGTGAAAGTTCAATAACTTGAAATTTTTCTATATAATCACGATGTATAACAAGGAACTCTGACCAAAAATTTAACAATAACAACAAAACGTACTTAATACTGCCGGAATCACTTTCTTACTAGACAATTCTCAATACTATTAATCCAATAAATCAATTAATAATTGATAATCAATATATGCTGTTGATGTATATTTAAGTAAACATTTAATAGGTCGCATCATTAAATGCAGCTAATGTTGTCTACGTAATTGAGCTTTATGTTTATGAATCCATTCGAAATAATTTTTTATTTTTTACATTATCTATTCAATAAAATGAAATTACCCTAAGATAAACATAATAAATGCGGAAACTTCGGATTTAAATCCGAGAGTTATGTGTACTTCAAAAAGTAAATTAGACCGATGAGTCATCCTAGAATATGTGGATATCAAAATTATACTGGGAAACCTTTCCTATAAACTGTTTATTTCTGCTGGCTATTGGTCCATCAATAGGGCTTGGAGGCGAATAGAGCTCAAATTTGAACTCTTCGCCTTGATTAACCCTAAGAAAGTCGTTTTTTCCTATAACTTGATTTCTATTGGTCACTGCTCAACCAATAATATTTCGAGGCAAATGGAGTACGGATTCGAGTTCTCCGCCCCAGAAAACCTCAAAGTATCAACTCTATGATCGGAAGATAGAGCTCGAATTGTGAGTCAATTAGATCGTGGACAAAAGCGGAACCCATTTCCCTTTAATTATCTTTGTAATAGGTGAGTTAGCCTTCTTGTTACTTTATGTTTTATATACCATTTTGTAGCTCGTGAAATTCTCTATCGAAAGGTATATAATAGTTGGGGTTTTATTTAACTATGATAGGAAAAGTTGTTTACGAAAGCCAAGATGGGTCAGTTTTCGCATAGGAAAAAATGAGTATTTTTGCAATAACTCAGGAATGGTTCAGCCAATTCTTCTCATCTTCGAACTCGACCGAGACATTGATAAGACTGAACTGTGTAGAAAATTTCATCGCGATTGGACTCTCCTTTCAAAAGTTATCGTGTTAACGGCCGGCCGGACGGACGGACGGACGGACGGACGGACATACTGACCGATTCTAGAGTGTACTCACTTTTTGAGTACACAAAAACGAGCATCCATATCTTTTTCATGTAATATATAAATCGCTTCCATTGTTTTAGCATAAAATTTTCTAAAATCTATTAGAAAAAAATAAAAGTTATATGAAAAACAATATTCGAATTAAAAAAGTAGTTCATCCGAAAATGAAAGTAACGCTGTGTATAAATGAGTTAATGTAACGCAAGGAAATTAAACTAGTTCATCCCTGTTGCAATTAAAATTCAATAACAGTGCCCAATAGTTTAGTGCGAGAAGAAGTCCATAATTGTCTATGAAAACTGAAAAGGCCGCAGGCATTCAATCTCGTTAAGCTCGATAATTTTTTTTATGATTTTATTCGACTGCTAAATAAGAAAAAAAATTACGTATTCTTTTTGAAAGCTATTGTTTGATTGTTGAGAAGCGAGTTTGTATTCAGACTTTGCTATTGTATCGAACAATCAAATAATGTTTGTCGAAGAAGTACACATAGATTTTTTTCTTAAGTGTATGACGAGTAAAATCTTTGAAAAATATCGAATCTTTGAGACTGGGTCATTTCATGATCTTTTCTGCAAATCTAATTTTTGCCATAATAACATTGTTCGAGCCTATCAACAACAAAATATTTTCACAAGTAACTCAACAGACTCTAAAAGAAAAACAACATAACAAATGACAACATACCTTACATGTGAGTGTGCGGGCGTGTTCGTCTATTCTGTACACATATTGAAAATGTAAAAGTGAGAGAAAAGAAAAAGGTCAAGAGAATAATTTTCTTTTTTGTCTTCTCTCGTCCATAAGTCGTCGTTCATGTTATCATTGATGATCAATGATAACATAGCATAATTAATATGTATATCAATTAAGCTTTATCCACACCCATACATTAAGATAGTTGTAATTGAATTTTATCTCAATGTATCTGTGTGTCCCGATTAAAGCTTAATGTAATTCATCTTTTAATCATACATCCATTAAAAAAAATTGAATGATTTTCTCTCCCCATAACTTTTTTGGAGTATAAATATGAATGATTCTCTATGTGAAATCATTCAATTTGTTGAATCATAAACTAATTCTTTTCTTTTATGTGTTAGGTCAATATCAACACTACAATATGGAACAATTCAACGTCGAACAAAGCCATAAAATAAAATGTAGGTATCAGTTTTAGTTTTTTTCTTTTTCTTTTTTTTTTCTTTTGGATCACATGGAGGGTAGTAAGTCCTCTTCCGATCTATTTTAAGCTTTGTTTTTTTCTATTTTAGCCATTAAATATTGAAAGTAAGTAAAAATTGTTTTTTTTTTAATTTTTTTTCTTTTAGATCAATATGAAGAAATTAAAGATGGTAAGTCATTTTTTTTCATCTTTTATTTTGTTGTCTTTTGTTTTAGGTTCTCTGATTATTATCAACTAGGAAAAGATAACAGGGAGTAAGTTAACTAATATTTTCTCATAATATAACATTAATTAAATTTTTTTTTCTTTTTCTTTTTCTTTTCAGTCTTCAACATGATCGCGTCTTCTTTATCATCGTCCAATATTCGAACACGTGAGTAATTATTTCTTTTTTTCTTTTGAGAAAGAGAATAGGGGTGAGAGAGGGATGAGGTTAGATAGTGACATTGAGATTGAGAAGGGTGAGGATGAGACTCAGAAAAGTGAGTGTTAGTGAGAGGCGAGGGTGAGTTCTGCCAGTTGAGGGTTAGAGTTTCGCCTTTTATGAAGGACTTCCGGGTAGTCCCTAAAAGCCCGGCCAGGAATCGTCTTGGTGTCCGTGGCACACGACCAGGCTTATTCAGACTCATTGACATATCTCTCGCGGGGAGGGTATGAATGATATGAGTCTGTCCTGCGCGTGCATGAGCGTTACGCTCGCCACGGCTCCACCAAGATGGTTCCTGGTCGCGCGCGCGAATAGAATAGACATTCATTTCATCAATTCAACGTGATTTATTTGAAACGAAAGGAGCGCAAAAAAAATCTATCCCGACGAGTCTATTAGATTGAAAAGCATTGAACACGATGATTCCCATAATCGCCGACATAGAGATTGCCATGTCGATCGAAGGACAAACCTCGGAGAAAGCGAAACTGATTTGCTCCTTCTCCTTGACCATTTCCACCCACAATGACAGTGCCCTGTTTCGCTCCTTTAGGCCAACGCATCACTCGATGATTCAACGAGTCTGCCACATAGATGGTACCCAATGTATCGACAAACAGTCCTCGAGGATATGACAATTGTATCAGAGCTTCCCCAAAGCCTTGACCTCCAGCGACAACAATTCCTTCTTTTGCACCTTTATTCCATTTCATTACACGATGATTATTGTTGTCTGACACGTAGACAGTCTGTTGTTGATCGACAAAGAGGTAGGTCGGCCAGTTGAGTTGATTGAGACGATCACCTTTGCCATTGCCACCAGCCACAATAGTTCCATTCTTGTCTCCTATTTGATATCGTCTTACTTCATGTTTTTCGACGTCAGAGATGTAGAGATATCTCTGATCATCCATGGCCAATCCAGAACACAAGATGTTGTCGATAAGGATTTCTCCTTGAGTTGTGCCACCACGACGAGACCATCGTACGACTCGTTGATTGTCCCGATCACAAATAATGAGATTATTTGTCTCTTTGTCGATCAACATATCGGTTGGACCATTCAATTGATCCAATCGATTTTCCTCGCCATTGCCACCAGCTACTACTTGTCCATTCGTATCACCCATCTTCCATTGGATGATACGATGATTGTTGAAGTCAGCGATGACTATCGTTTGATCATCATCAACGAAGAGACCATAAGGGTAGTTGAGTTGATTGGTGGCATTGCCTTCTCCATAACCTCCAGCAACAGTCACACCATTCTGGGCCCATCGGGCATCGACTGGAATATTTGGAATTACTACAATGAACAAAAAAGAAAAGAAGTCGTCGTTATCGAAGGGATTCCGTCTCTCGTGAGAGCAAGCGCTACAAAACATGACATTAGTCTTTGAGAATGCTCATTCCACAGATAAAAATTCAGAAGTATTTTCCTAGTTTCTTATGAGAAAAAAGGATTTCGTAAGGATACTTACATCTATGTTACTTCTAGTTTTTGCCAAGATCTTTTTGATCATAAAAATGACACCTGGAGATTGCTGTAAGGAGGTTCTCTAAGAACGAGTAATACTAATTCCATGTAAGTTTTTGATAGAAAAACATAAGGATCTGAGGATTTTTTCAGAATTGCAAGAATTCAGAATCTTTTTGGTAGAATGATCATTTATATGAACATCAGAGAAGATTCTATCTGTATCTTGTGAGAAGAATATCGAATCGTTGAACAACAAAATATCAAACCTAATCTCTATGTTTTTTAGAAAACCTTAAGGATACATGATTTTCTGCATGATGAATGTAGATCTGCCGAAGAATCTCCTAAGTATTTGAATAGAGAATGCCGGTGAAATTTTATAAGGCTTTTGGTAAGTTATGTCAAGCTGTTCGAAGAACAACTGTGATGTACTCTGAGTAGGATCATGAGAAGGTTTGGATACAGGAGAAATTGAACAAAGTTGAGAGGATTCCACGCGAATCTATTTAATCTGAGAGGGCTTCTACCTTTGCAAATGCTGAAAAGATGGATGTCAATCCGAACGGAGCTCTCCAGTGACAAACATTGGGATCTATGGATTTTGTGGGCTTTGAAAAGAAAGTGTTCTAAAATGCTATTATTAACTTTTGATGAACACCATCTTCAAACCATTGTATAAGGGTCCTCGAAGAGAATCTTGATGACTAAATAAGATACTCTGTCAAAATCTGAAAATCTAAAAATAATGAGTATCTTCTGTGAGGATCATGCTATAACCTTTAGGTAATGCTTGTTCTGGGAAGCCGTCTTTGAGGTTGCATGTGATGGATATGTTCAGGAAGATCTGAAGAGTAAGTATTTTGAAATGGTTGATATCAGAGATGGGCAATTCCAACTCCAAAGTTGATGCTTTTTCTCATCAGAGTGAAAATGGAGTAGGAACAGGACAGAATGGAAGTGCCTATCTTTAAATTTTATTAGAAAGTTTATAAAGCAATAAATGAATATGCTACTAATTTATATCAATCGTAGTTTTAATTATGTTCAATAACTTATGTGTATTTAAGAGTGTTTTGGCAGAAGTTCAGTTTTGTAAAATCCGACTGGAATTGAAGTTAAATGGGAGTTAGAGTAGGATTTTAGAATAAAGGAGTAGAGTGGTATGGGGTTCGAGCGGAACACACTGCAGTTAAAATTGATGTGGAGTTTTAGAAAAGAGTGGGATGTGAATGAGTGTTGGTATCCTCTTCACCCTCACCTACACTCACATACACACCAATACCCTCTAAGGAGATTTCTATGTTCTAGTGAAACTTATTTTGAATCTGTAGCTCATTGTCTTGTGATATAGAATGTTCAAAAAAAAGTAAACTTGTATTATAATAAGGAGGGCTTTTGTGATTTTTTTTTCTTAAATATTGAAAATTTATATTAAATTTTTTTTCGTACATATTTTGAAATCTAATTATTCTGATTTGTTTAATTTTATTAATTTACAATAAAATTACATTACATTTCATTTAAATTAAAATGAAAGTAAAAAAATGGAATTATTTTATTTATTTTTAAATCGAATAAAAACAAATCTATTCAAATAATTTCAATTTCATTTAGAACAAATAAAGATCTCCACTTTTTGTAGCTATTATAGTTTTCAAAAAATTAAAATTAAAATGAAATAATTCGTACTTTTATTTCTTTTTCGAAAGAAATTTCCGAAAAAATATTTTATATTTATTCTTTAATTAAAGTTTAGCTGAAACGAAATGAACATTTTTTTCAAAAGTATGAGGAAAAAAAGGTTAATAATGTGTGGTCTGGTGTAATGGATTGGTTTAGTGTTCGTCATTTGTTTTTGAGCCACATTCAGTAAATACACACTAACCAGGGAAGAAGATTTCAATTTATCCTAATTTCAATACCACTAATTAATAAAAGTATCAAAGGATGTTGGGTGTAACGATTAGAAATTATATAGATATTCCTAAATTCATATGGATAGTTAAAATCTTGATCTTTAAGAATGTTTTTAATTTTTTAATCGTACAAATAGTAATTGAGTCTATGCTAGTGAGCTCTCTTTTTATTTTAACTTATTAAGATAATGTGTATGATTAAAAACATTTTTTTGTTAGATCTAAAGCGCACAATATTCACTTTGTCCTCTGTTATCGTTTCATGACAATTTATTTTTGAGTTCAAAAAGATTAGTTTATATTTATTTCGAAAACTACCGAATTTCGTCTTGATTGCTTTGGAATAAGATGCAATACAACAGAACGAAACACGTACCATCGTTTATATATCGGCTTGTCCACGTAACGCGTCAACTCTAATACCAATAGTTTGAAAAATCAGATCTAACTATCGACACTATTATCCAATATAGTTAGGAAGAAAATGGGTAAAAGCTACTTGTAGTTTTCAGAAGACGAAAGTTAACTTGCATTTATTCAATACTGTGGATATCTTAATAGCAGGAATATGATTTTATTTTTTTGGTTTTCGTCATCGCGTAACGAAATCGTCATCGCGCAACGTTAATGTGACCAAAGTTTCACTACTAATCAAAGACCTTTTTCAAAAAAGCATTTCTCACACTAATACCCCAAAGTGTCTTCTACAAATCTATTGTAAAATATTTTGTTCAGAATCATATACATTTAGAGAAAAACAAAGAACAAATATAACACCCCCCAATTTTTGTCTCTTGTTCATCATCGCGTAACGCTGTATATTTTGTGGAACTCACATATATTTTCGAAGAAAAAATAGTGAGTGTAAGTTTTAAGTTCGAGGTTTGACGGCTCCCCACCCTCCCATTACAGACACTTAGCAACGAAGAAAGAGAATATTACAGACATACCCCCCCCCCCTCCCCCCTCATTACAGACCTCAGCAACTGCACACAAAAAACTTAAGCTTTACTTAACAATTGAAAAAAGCTTGAACGGTTTGAAGAATATGAATTTGACTGCTATACACTATTATAATGTTTTCATAATTATTTGAAAAAACTAACATGCACTTAACAAAATTCTTAATAGTATAATCGTTGGCTTTTTTAAGAATTTAAACTTGTATGCTAAAAATCAACGGTGAATAGTGATAATAGGTATTAATCTGTCGTACCGATGATATAATCAATACAGGAAATATGATTCGATCTTTTTATTAGTGTCAGAAGGAAACAATATCATTATTGATAAATTAATTGAGATGTATAAAAGTATTGTAAGAATGGCTAATGCATATTAAGTGCATTATTGTGAGACTCGTATTTATGAAGTAATTGATGATGAAAAGATTTTAAATAAAAAAAAAAAACAAAAAAAAAATGATTATTATCGATTATATATCAACACTAATAAAAAAAATCGGGCGCGCTCAAACGAAAAAGATAGTCGCAGTTTTAAATGTACAAATAAATAATAAAATATTGTTTATGTCAGTGATGAGTTATAAGAATCATTTTAATCAACAGAAATCTTTCAGTTTACAGATGACATATTAGGATAACAAGTCTAAAGGATATACGTGAGTTCCACATTTCAGCTCCTTTGGAGCTGCGCTAACAAGCTTTTTGCTATGATTTTCAGAATGGTTAAATAAATAATCTCCAATTTACCGGATTCCAAGAGTATCTAAGGAGACACATCTTCCGACGAAAGAATGAAATTTCTAAGGGATTTCGTTGCTGAGAAAATCCGAAGACGGTGTGGACAAAACGTCATCGCGTTACGCTTGGACAAGCCGATATATATATTTCTTTTATCTTTTTTCATAAGACTTTCTGTAAGATACTTATCAATCTTGTATGTAGCTCATTTATGCGTAAATGATACATTAATTATCCACTATTGGTACAATTCAAATAGGAAAAACTTGATAAAATATCAAATTTAAAGGAATCGCTAGTTATTTTCTGACAAATTAACTAAGAGAACATCAAATAATATCATGCATTGCGAATAGTATCAGTATAAATAAAAGAAATATCTTAATTATATCTTTCTTTGACTATTTTCTTTTCATTAATGAAACGAAGAGCTCAACATCTTTGTCAATCGTATTGCTGCAGCTTTCTGAGTTGCTCAAAATAATGGAAGAGATAAAGAATGATACTACAATAAAGTTGACGATAATAATAGAATTGAATCTTCTTCATTTGATTCAGTACATCCTAAGATCATTGCACTCGTTGGTAAAAACACTATGTCCTTATTGGTTTATCTCGATTTCAAATGAGCTATTAAGGGCCCCCCACCCCTCTAAATTTTTTTTTTCCCAGAACACTCAATCTTACTGAAATTTTTATTGAATATGTATCTGACCATTGATAGTTCTCAGTAAAAATTTGAGCTCATAATATTGAGTTTTTCGCGAGTTATTGTAACATCAAGGGTCAAAAGTAGGTGTCTGTGTGTCAAAGATTTTGTTTTCAATTTTAGTGATACGGACCTCGGGATGGTGTCAAAATGTAGAGAAGACCTGCCCCTACAACCTAACAAAGCCGGATTTTTGAAAAAAAAAAAATTAATTTTTTTAGACAGTTTTTTCGAAAAACCTAGATCAATTTTTTAGAAAACTCGAGTTTTTTGTAAACAAATAAATTGAAAACAAAAATTCTGGCTTTGTTAGGTTGTAGCA